TAAACTCTAAGCTTGTCGGCAGGTAGCGTATGAGAACTACCTCTAAACGACAAGTGCGGTTCTTCTTACACCCTTTTTCCATGTCTTACATTTTTCTTGCAGTACGTTAATGTTTTTTAGTCAAAAAGTTTTTTAGAAAAATATGGTCCAGATGATCGTCGGAAAGAGTTGTATTGCAAAAATCAAATCATTAATATTTTAAAAACTCATTTAAATACTGTATATTTAACGAATATCCAATTGAGAACTTTTATAGCTTATTACGACACCATACTAGTGCAAAAGTAACAATAGAAATATCTTTAAGAAGAGATGCAATATTTCTTGATTATTGTCATCATGAAAATGCATTTGTTACATTTTTTGAAGCAAAGCATGACTATCCTTATACAGAAAAAGATCTGGATAATTTGGTAAAACAATTTGCTATTTTTTTGTTAGATTTTTTTTACTAATTTATAGTGAAATCCAAACAAAACTAAATTAAGAAAAGAAGAAAAAAAAAATAAAAAAGATTTTTATTATTTTTCTAGCATTCAATTACAATTTTCTTTTAAAGTCTTACTACGTAGATATTATTCAAATTATCATCCTATGGCTAATAAATCATGTGATTATATAGAATATACTAATCTTTTATATACTAAAGTTCAAATACTAATTTGCAAACACAGTTACCATGAAAATTGTTTTAAATTTTAGGATTTTATTGCTATTATTGTTTTGAATACCTTTCTAATTCAATTAAAGAGTTATTATAATTATATAATCAAAGATTACAGATGAATGAAGATATTAATGAGTGGATAGATTCTGATATTCAACCTGAAACTGATATATTGGAAAATGTTAAGCCTGTAAATGAATGTGTTGAAATTGACAACAGATTAGAAAGAAGAATCACTAATAAATTTGTATATTAAACAAAGTTATATATAATTATTAATTATTAATATATAATTTTTAATAGAAATTGTTCAATAAAACTTTATATACTTTAGCTTTTAATTTAAACATTTAAATGTATAATAATAATGATAAAAAAAAAATTGTGCAAAAATTTCTATATGCAATGATTTTTTAAGCTTGTTAATACCAATATTAATAAATAAGCATTCATAATTTGATTGGCTAATATTATATACAAATTAAAATCAGATTGCGTCTGGCATCTCCTTGGCTGGGTTTAAACAATAATCTGATCATCCAATCAATGGATTTTTAGCCATACTACTGCAACCCACCTTTAATAGATAAAAAAAATCCAAAAACCGAGTTTTGTTTTTTTTAAGTAATACAGTAAATATATATATAAGTGATAATTATGCAAGAGATTATGTTTATCTCTACTATTTTGGGTATCTATTAACCCATTTTTAACATTATCTGCTACTGCAAAAAATGGCTAACAACAACACAGAGTATCCTAGTTTTATAATAGTTATGTGGGTTCTACTTGAGAGAGAACTAAGAGCCGTGAAGTTGAAAAGTTCTTTAACTGAGTTCAATGATTTAGATGATTTTTTTTCATGTCTAAAACAAAAATTTAAGATTCTCAAAAATGTTGAACCGAAGAAACTTTTATTTTACCGAAGAAGATTGCAACACAACACTTTTGCTAGACGTCATCTTTACATCTTTGATTACTACAGCATCAAAACTGCTTGTTGTCCAGTACCTACTATCTAATGCAAATAGTAAGTAGAGTTTTGGTGTTTTTATCCTTATCTATTTTTAATACCAAATACTTATCAAATTCTATTAAATACAGTTGTAGTAAATTATAAGTTTTTATGTTCTTCAATCGAATATCAAATACTATATACAAGTGGCACCTAGGGTTTTCTATGAAAAGCTGTCATAGAAAGGTTTAATAAGTTGCTAAAAGAAGATTTCTATTTTGTCAACAACGAAACAGATAAAAAAATCACAAATAAATATCAATTTAACACATTATTGTCGAGAATTAAGCCAAATGAGGCGAATGATTGCATACTTGATCTAAAAATTCAGATCAAGGGGAAAAAAGTAGAAATTTAAAAATATATTTTAAGATGTGCTGAAACAGATCTATATATCTCTTGACACCATGCCAAGATTTAATTTAAATGAACTTCCTGCAATATGCTTTCTGATTAGTGACTAGAAGTTAGATCTCTTTAATAAGAAACTTGAAGAAAAATATTACACATTCCATAATAAAATAAAGAATGAGCCAACATTAGGCTATACAAACTTAATAAATCGGTTTTTATAATATAAAATTTTTAAAAGTGATCTGGCAACCCAGCTTTTAATTTTATTTTCAAAAAATTTTATATATAAAAAACATATAAACCGATTTATTAATTGGTGATCCACCAGCTAACCAGAGAATGATCATAGTAAAAAGTGACTCAAATTATTTATAAAAATTGGAGGTCTCCAAATGTGGCGTGTGCGCATCTAAAACTTTTTTTATACTAAGTTAATCACCTTCTAA